AAGCCGGGCTTGAACCCATGAAACTGTGAGATCATGACCCGAGCCGAAACCAAGAGTCAGATGCTTAACCAACTGACCCACCCCGGTGCCCCCCATTCTGCTTAATAGAGTGAGCCGTGGGATTGTTGTAGCCCCAGTGTCCCTGGGTTCCCATCTAGTGTTTAATGGGCTCTGGGCTGGTGGCGGTGGAGTCAGACAGATTGTAGCTGACTGCATGGCCCCTGTCTGTCTCAGTAATGCCCACATCAGAAGATTTGCAGGGCCTTTTTGGACACATACTCAACCTACATCTGTTCACCCTTGAGGGATGTGACTCCAGGGAGCCAGCTGAAAGCCTGGGCTCTGTGAGAAGGTATATGGAAGCATCCAACAGATTCCCAGTACTGACTGTGCTCTGCTCGGCATTCTCCGTTTGTTATAAGGAGCACAGGCTGCAGGGCAGGAATCACAGAACTTTGAGGGTAAGGTCTGAAGCCATACTGTCCAGGTTTGAATCCCAGCTCTGCATTTTGCTAACTTCTGATCTGTGATAGGCTAAATTCCTCCTCTGTGCCTCGGTTGCCTCATTTAGGATGTGAAGATAGCAATAGTAAACTAAAGAATATTGCTAGGATTGGGGCGCCTGGGTGGCGCAGTCGGTTAAGCGTCCGACTTCAGCCAGGTCACGATCTCGCGGTCCGTGAGTTCGAGCCCCGCGTCGGGCTCTGGGCTGATGGCTCAGAGCCTGGAGCCTGTTTCCGATTCTGTGTCTCCCTCTCTCTCTGCCCCTCCCCCATTCATGCTCTGTCTCTCTCTGTCCCAAAAATAAATAAATGTTGAAAAAAAAATTAAAAAAAAAAAGAATATTGCTAGGATTAAATGAGCTATACATGTAAAAGCTAGGTAGCAAGGCCCTGTTTTTAGTTTGTGTGTATCAGGAAAGAGGGAGCTTGGTAAGGGGTGATGGAGATTATAAGAGATTAAAGACTGCAACTGAGGGAGAAGATGCAGCCTTTGGATAAATCCGCAACTCTGTCCACCCATCAGCTGGAAGTTGTTGGCTTTGCATCCCTATTCATCCCTTCCCCATCTCCCAAATCCTTTAAGGAAGTTGGCTGAGGATCATCTGTTTTATGTGAGTGGGAAGGGAGAGTCATGGAAATCTAGGAAGCAGCTGAACATCTTAATATTATTGCGAACATTTTTGACCTTGCAAGCCTCCTCTGTGAAAAACACTACACTACACTGGGATGAATTTCTCCCTGTCTTTCTGATCTTGCTTTGATCTTCCTCTTGTCCCTCCATGTGAAAAGGCAGCCACTGGTGAGGTACAGGATAGTTACACTTTGTTCAAACAGTATACTCCCAAACATTTCATATAATTCAAAATTCCCTAAATGCAACTCTACTCCAAAAGACAGGAGATAACATTTACGCACCAGCCTGTACTGTCAATTAGCAATAGAATGACTGCAGTTTACAATCCACTCACTTGAAAAACGAGCTTTAAAATTAGGAGAAATTCTGGATACATTGTTGATGGAGTGGGTCTGGAATCATTTCAATAATTCACAGAAAGATTTTATCAATATTTGAGATTGCACTGTTTTGAATTTGCGTAAGTTAGGTTCCTTCCTTTTTCTTCACTGTGAAAAAGGAAGACCTTGGTAATGGTGGGGAAGACTGGCAAGGATGGAAAAGCTCCTTGAAGGCAGGCAGTGGGTCTGATTGATCTCTGGCCTCCCCATCCCCTGTCTCTGATCCCTACCACATGGGCTGATTCCCAGGGGAGGGGCATAGAGGAGCAAGCCAGGTGCACCTCTCCAGGTGTGAGTCACTGGCCCGTGAGATGAAAAGCAAAAAACGGTGGAAACACAAGATGCTCATTAGCAGTGATTTATTAAGAACTGATGAGGGCTTTCTGCTCCTAGGCAGCTATTATCCCAAAAAACATTTTTCCTCAGTGTCTAACTTATCATGCTCAAATGCCCACTATTTCACGCTCATCCTGTACATGGAGTTCTGTGAGCAGCAGGCAGATATAATCCAGTCTTATCGACAGGAGGAGGGCATGTGTCCCAAGCCAATGAAGGTCACCATTAATGATGCATGGGGCACTGGGGGCTGGGCATTTTTCTAGAGGTACATGGCCTTTCCCCTCGCAGGGGCTGTTTGAGTTTCTATGTATCTTAGCCCCAAATGCAGATGCATGAAAACCATGTGTGAAGGAGTCCCTTTAAGCGAGACTTATGGTGGGGACTTTTTCTTATTATTATTTATATCAAACTTAAATTTTTGAGATACTTGCAGATTCCCATACCGTTAGAAGACATAATACAGAGACATCCCATTGTATGCTTTGTCTAATTTCCTCCAATGGTAATGTCTTCCCATTAGTACCATTACCATAGTACAATGTCACCTCTGAGGCTTTCTTAAAAGACTCGGAGGACTTGAGACTTCCCTGACCCCAGAAGGGAGAACCTCTGGGGAATGGTGCAGTCCCCTTGGAAGGAATGTCCCCAGATAAGAGCCTGGAGGGTATATGGGGTATATCAGGGCTCTCTGGTTAGAAGTAAGAGATGTTCATGCAGATTACAGATGCTCTCCCCTCACATACCTGACCAGTGGTATGAGAGCACCACTGGGTTCCAGGGACGTAGCACTAGTCCTTACCTGGTCCCTGGGGCTTTGGGGGACTAGGGCCCTCAGCCTTTCAGCTGCGTCTGCTCAAGTACTGTGGTTGACAGTCCTCTCTGGAATGACACACACAGCCCAGGGCTTGATTCCTAGCTCCTCACCTGCTATATGAATGACCTTGGCCAAAGACATCTTAGAGCTTCAGTTTTTCATAGTATCTTATAGAGCACTTGCCATATGCCAGTCACTAGTCTAAGAAGCTTGTAGAATAACTAATTTAATACCAACAATCCTAAAAGGGAGATATTATTAGTTCCTATTTTGCAAATGAGGAAATTGAGGTATTTGTCCAAGGTCACCCAGCTAGTGAATGGCAGGGTTGGGTATTTGAAGCCAGGCAGTCCACATCACAAGTTCACATACTTAACCACTGTCCTGTGCTGTTCTCTCCTCTCTGAGGTAGGCTGAGTAGTACCTTGCTGAATTTCTACAAGGCAAACTGCTTAGCACAGTGCCCAGCATGTAATACATAAGCACCAATAAATGCTAGCTAACATTATCTTTGGTATAATTGCTTCTGGGAGCTTCTGAGTATTTATTTCTTATTATGGTAATTAATAATTGCTTCCGTTCTGGCCACCTACCATGTGCCAAACCTTCATTCAGCCCTCCCAACCACCCAAAAGGAGGAGTCACTTTTTCAAGATGAAACAACTGTGAATCTGAGAGAAGAAATCTGGCAGAGGCAGAGACAAGATTTATACCCTGGGGCTGCGTCTAGAATCACAGCTCCAGAAGGAACTTCAGAGATGCCAGCCTAACTTCACATCCAGCTCAGGAACTGCACTGTCAAACAGTCATGCATCCATTCCGAAAAGCCCGGTGACAGGGCACTGCTTCTCTACACCAGTGGTTCTCACGCTTGGGGGTACCACAGAAGCCCCTTCAGCCATTGTTAACATACAGAATGCTGTCCCCCTCCTCCATCCGCCACCCCACCCCACTCCACCACACTCCCTTGGGCTGGAGCCGGGACCTGAGAACGTGCATTTCTCCCAAGTCTCCCCAGAATGCTGATGTTGCTGGATCAGGGACTGTACTTTGAGAACCACCGCTCTAGGGAAACTTCTTGGAGTAGTAACAGTAGAGACGATGGCATCCTCCACTTATGCCCTTTTCATGTGTGAGACAGGCTTCCCTTGCAGGGCCAGTGCCTTATACTTACCTGCATTGTAAATTATGCATCCCCATCTATGTGGTTACCTTCCTTCCATAGAGGGCTCTTAAAATTGTATGTTCTCAAAAGCCTGCCTCTGATTGGAGCCCAACCCCTCCCCAGCCTACTTCCACCTGTTTGGGGACATGAGGCTCACCCTTCCAAATCTTCTTAAAATAATACCTACCGTTGCTTTTCTCATTAAAAACAACACCAATGAAACCACACCTTCCTACTGCTGAAAACTTAGAAAAGTATGAAAAATAAAAAGAGGGATGAGGAAGAAAATGAAAATTAACCACCATCCCAATCCCTCTGTTAATATTTTGATGTATTTTAGTATATTTCCTTATAGCCTCTTGATGTATATATGTATATTTTATTGAAGTATAATTGACATATAACATTACATCCGTTTCAGGTGTACAACATAATATTGCATATATTGCAAAATGATCACCGCACTAAATCTAGTTAACATCTGTCACCATACATAGCTACAAATTTGTTTTCTTGTGATGAGCACTTTTAAGATTTACTCTCTTAGCAACTTTCCAATATGTAATACAGAATTGTTAACTATAGTCACCATGCTGTACATGACATCCCCATGACTTAAGTATTTTAGAACCAGAAGTTTGTGCCTATATTTGTTAATTTTGGAATAAAAATGCATATAGTACTGAGTGTCCTAAAAGCAATATTCTAAATATTCTGTATACGTGGGACCTGCTGTCCCATAATTTCATTATGGAATTCAAAGAAGGAACTGAGGTTTGCCAGGGACGGCAAAGGTGGGCCTTTGAGCCAACCGAGAAAACACAGGCACAGAGATAAGCATCATTGTTGTCTGTGGGGCGGGGTCCGTGGTGCAGTAGAAAGTGGGTTTGAGCCAGTTGAGTGGGGGACAGGCGATGGGAAGCTGTTACCAGCTGGCCTGGAGCTCTCTGAAGCACCAGGGGGCTGTTGCACATTCCATATCCCATCCTATCAGGAATGAGTTAACAAAGGGATTTCCCAAGGCCCACCCACGTAGCGGAGGGTGGGATGGATAAGAGCCCTAATAGTGAGAAGGCAGGGGGAGGAGACATGGATACATGAGTAGGGAGAGGCCTGGGGGCCCACCCAGTCCCCTCCGGCCGAGCATGCTGTGGCATGGATAGGTCTACTTCTGAGCCGCCAGGATGGAAAGGGACTGGTTGATCTTCACCATGGCGATAATGAGGAGGCCACCAGTCAGCAGGAAGGTGGGCCAGAAGAGAGAGAAGAGCAGGGTCTGGGGTCCATAGAGGCGCCGGTACAGGACAGTGGTCTCATTCTCCCGAGTCGTTGAGAAGCAGTAGAAAATCCGATGCTCGTGGAAGTTCGTTCTGACCTTCTCCACATCGGCCCGGGCCACCTGGTAGTTTTCCAGGCTGCGTGGGATGTAGGAGCACTGTGAGGGGAAGCAAGAGCACCCATGAAGTCGGAAATCCCCGTCGCTTTGGGCAAGATGAGGGGCTGGCATGAAGTAAGGGAAAGTGTTGGCTTTGGCGTTGGGCCCCCGGCTGGGAGTTGGGACTGGTTGAAGCTTGGAAGGCTGTGCACTGCTTGGTTCCAGAGGGCACCTTCACAGTACAGTGTCATTTGTGAGGACAGTGGCCCAGGAGCTGCTCGGGGTACATGCCCACACCTGGAGGGGGGGCCCAACTGGAGTCCTAGTTCTGCCTCCACTGGCTGTAGAACCTTAGGCAAATTGCTCGCCTTTCTCAACCTTGATATCTTATCTCTTAAATGGGTTAATAGCAATATCTCCTTCAAAGGATGTTATTAAAGACGGGCTTCAAACTTAACTGGCCAATGAGTGACACAGACCGAGTAGGCTCTGCATTTGGATCGAGGGCAGAGGTCATACGCTCAGTCGCCCACGGGGCTCACACTGCAGCATTCACATGTGAAGTGGGGGAGGGAAGAGATGACGGGTGCCACCTGACACTTCCCCTGGTGCCAGGGACAATTGTCGGGGAGGGGGGGGGGGCTGATGAAATGAAGAGAGCCAGAAGCTTCCAGACTGGCAGTCCTCACGCCATCCGGACGATGCATGCCACATGATCCAGAAGACCTGTTGTAGCCAGGCCTCCAAAATTTCAAGAAAGGCCAGAACCCCAAATTTTAATGTGAACTCCCGCAGTTTTAAAACATTGGCAAAAATTTGAATCAAAAACCCTCCGTGGTTCTAGCCCTTTGTGAGCCAAAAAAAGATATTGGCAAGCCAGTATTTGATACTGGGATTCAAAGGAAAAAGACATTACATTTGAAAGAGCTTGTGCAGGCAAAGCACGGCACACACTTAATTCTGACACTGGTTGTTAGGAGCCTCTGGCCTGGTCAGGTGAGGTCTATCTGGAAAGTTCTGCAGAGGAGGCACAGAATGGAGACCCTGCTTTTATCTCCGTTCTGTGCCGGGAGGTCTGAATGTTATGTATATGAGGCTCTGGGAGATATTCTGCAAAGGTGGTCCCTCCGTCACAGAATCTGCAGCAGACCACCTGGCCAGAGCGCAGCTTCCCGCTCACTCTGAATTACTGAGGGCAGGGTCCAGAAAACAAGTGATCCCTTCCTACAGTGGTTTGAGACCACTGGCCTAGTATAATCATGTCCAAGATCAACATGTGTACTGTTGAGCCAGCCTCTCCCCAGGCCTTGGTCACTTCCTGGATGTGAATGAGACCCCATCCCCAAAGCTGCTGGCCCACACGGCACTCATCCAGCAGTAAAGAGGATGGTTGCATTCACGTTCTGACAGCCTGGGATGTGGGGGAACTGCCACCCAATTAGGTTCCCAGCCAGCCAGGGAGCAACTAAGGCTGGGAAACACTGCCTCCAGGGAATCTGCCAAAGTAGTTGGACACTGCAGGGTCCCATAGCAGGTGAATTCAGAATTCTGAGCTGAGAGGACCTAGCCTGTCTCCCCAGTGCCTCTCACTATGACCTTGGTAACCTACCCCATTGAGCAATGGTGTGGCTGTGGAACCAGACAGACCTGGATTCAGCCACCAGTTCCAAGTTGTACAACCTCTCTGAGTCTTGCAAAATGGGTATGTGAGGACATTAGAAGAGATCATACATGTAAAGCCCAAGCACAGAGCCCAGCACATGCTAAGTGCTCAGTAAATGGAAGATGCTATCAAAAGTAATAACAAAAATAGGGGCGCCTGGGTGGCGCAGTCGGTTAAGCGTCCGACTTCATCCAGGTCACGATCTCATGGTCCGTGAGTTCGAGCCCCGCGTCAGGCTCTGGGCTGATGGCTCAGAGCCTGGAGCCTGTTTCCGATTCTGTGTCTCCCTCTCTCTCTGCCCCTCCCCCATTCATGCTCTGTCTCTCTCTGTCCCAAAAATAAATAAAAACGTTGAAAAAAATTAAAAAAAAAAAAGTAATAAAAATAATGTGACTTAACTATGAAATGCAACAACAGCTCTTTCTTTCCATTCTTAAAGAGGGACTGGTGGATAAGCTCTCAGGTGAGGGCTTGTGCCCATCCTGGGCCCCTCTGTGTCTTTTGCCAGCATGTGGTCATGCTGGATCCTTTGGTGGGACTTTTTGACAAGACACTGGACAGGAGTTCACTTTGCAGGACCGACCTCAGAGGCCTGGGGCCTATCTGCATCCTCTGTCCCCTGTCTGGGATCCAGCTACCTCTGAGTTATATGAAGGATCTGAAATGGTCCAACCTTTCCCCAAGTCCTGTGACAGCACATTCTCAGCACAGAGCATGGGAAGGGGCTTAGAATCTCCTGCACTAAGGCTCATGGGAGAACCAGTAGCTGATCAGTAGCCTCCTTCCTCAGAGTGAGGCTGGGGGGTGGTAGCCTTGACTGGCCTTTCACACATGAATCCCGAGCACGCCCAGCTGGCCCAGAGCACTGGCTCCCTGTACTCCAGAGCTGAATGAAAGTAGATGGGGTAGCTGGCGCACCAACCCAGCTGCTTGACAAAACCACAAAGGGCGCTTCCACTGTCCCACCAGAGCAACAGCCTCTTTAGCACCTCTTGGTGATGCCTGGGTGCTAGGAGAAAGAAGACAGAAGAGTCTGTGCCTACCAGCCTGCACTGTCCTTACAGGTGCAGGCAGAGCATGCCCACATGCTCTCACATGTCTCACATGCTGCAGACAGCTCACTACAGGGGCAGATCTGGCCCCTTGCTCCTCTGAACCGGCAACCTCAGAGTCAGGCAGGCAGCCTGCAAGCCGGCCTGCTCGCAATTCCTATCACACCAGTGATCCCTTCTGGTTGTCTTTGGGAATTTGCTTCTTGCTCCTTGGGATAAATCAGCAGCCACTGAATGCCAAAGAAGAAGCAGGAGTCAGGTAGGTGCTGATTCAGGAGGACGTAGGGGCTCTATCCCCATCTGGTGGGGCTGAGTCATGTTAGTGCTGACAAAACAGGTCTGGTCACCTTGCACTGTCCAGACCCATTTCTCTTTGACCCCCCGACACTGTCAGTAATCCCACTGTGCACCATCAACACTCTGCCCTTCCCATCCCATCCCAGCAGCTACCAAACTCTGACTGTCAGCATCCATCCTCACTGCAGGCCCTACCTCCATCCTGGCTGCTTGTCATGGCCCCAGGCTCTCTGCCCAGTCGTTGAACTTCACACTCCTCTGTACCACTCTGATCATGCTCCCAGGACCACAGACCCTTTAAAGACTCCTGTTTGCTCGCAGAGGTAATTCTAAGCCTTAGAGTCACCTGGAGAACCCTAAAATTCTGCATCAGTTGGTCTGGTGTAGGAACCGTTTTGTTAAGTCCCCAGGTGGTTCCAATGCATGGCCAGAGTTGACCAGTGCCAGATTGCCTGATCACATTTCAATTCCATACTTGCATAGTCCTTGGCAGAGATGACAGGCACACAGCTTGTACTGTGCCAGAATATCATTAGCATTTCCCTTCTTTATGGTCTATACTTGGATTTAAGTTTCCGGTAACCAGTAGAGCCTTCCCCTAGGAAATGGTAGGCATTTATGACCCCACCTCCTGCTAAAATCAGCACCATGGAGCATTATTTGGAGTGAACTTGTTCCAGATAAAGCTCCGGCTTTCTGGTACAAATGCAAAGGAACTTGACCTGTCCCGGGCCCAGGTTGATGAGACAGGTCTCTACCTGTCCCAATGGAATCGGAGAGATCGGACCGCCTTGGCATTTGCTCTATTTGCTATTCAGGCAGACCAACCTCTATGTCTCATGAGGTTGAATCATTGTGTTTTTTGGTAAAATGGTGATTGTAAATAAGCTTAGCCCTTCCCCCAATTCGCTTCCTTACGCTGGACTTCTAAAGCTTGGAAAAAATCTCTACTGGATATAAAGTCTAACTCCATGCGTTGTAGGATAGCTTCTTCTACCCACTTTGCTAATGGTGCTGTGTTGTGTCTTGCACTGGAATTCAACACTTACTTCTCCTTTCCTACTGTGTTGTGTTCGCTGTTTCACCCGGATATCCTTAAAGACGATCTTTTTATCAAAAAAAAAAAAAAATCAGTAAAGTGTTTTCTATAATCTTTTTTTTAAAATATAGGAACTAATTATTATCCATAACTTGTAGTGTTTTCACTAAAGTTTTGCTTCTCTCAAAAAAACATATAAAAACCTTTCACAAACAAAAAACTTTCTGATTCCATAGGTGGGTCATGTGGAGCCCATCTCTGCAACATCTTCCTGTCCCACTGAGCTCTGCGTTGGTTTCTGCAGGACGCCTTCCAGTACCTTCTATTCTATGCCCTCCATTTGCCATGCATGCTGCCCTCCATGTTTCTGTGTATCTCACCCCTGCTGATTTTTAAAGCCTAACACAAATACTTTCCTGACACCCTCACCTCGCTGTTGGCTAGAAAAAGTCACTCCTGCCCTTGACCCCATAATTTTCTCTTTTCCTCTCTATGGCACTGATCCCTCCCCATTAGATATTATTTCCCATGTAAGCTCTCTCCTCCTGAGTCCAAAGCTCCTGCCACAGGAAGTGCTCAGTGACTATTGAATGAATGAGTGAATGGATAAGGCCAACTTGTATTTTCTATAGGAAATACTAGGATGGTGGGTTGGGGGTGCAGGAGGTAGTGATGGGAAAAATCTCCCAAGCACTGGTTTCCAGAGATTTCTCCAGCCTCTGCTTTCCTGGGGGAAGCGAGGGGTATCTCAGGAGTTCCCTCCCATGGGGTCAGCTCTGGGTCTGGTCTCTCATTTGACTCACCTTATACAAGTGCCGGCTATCCACCTGACATTGAACTCAGCACACTACACAGCCTCTGTCTTCATTAACAGCACTCCAGCAAAGGTGGCAGCTGAGCTTAGAGGGGCTCACTGCCTGCCCCAAGTCATACAGCACTTAGTGGCAGAGTGGGGATTCCAACCCAGGTCTGTCTAACTCCAACCCAGAAGAGCTAAGTCTGGCTGGACCTCATATCAGCTGTGGACCCTCATCACGTAGGCTCAGGTTCCATGCTCTAGAGTGGAGATGTGGATCCAGTTAGGAAGAGGCCCATGCACCTGCCAGGGGCAAGGGAGATATGTGCCCATCCCCTCCCCTCCCCCAGTCAGTACCTGCTGGTTCTGGTCACGAGTGTCCTCCGTGTGGTACAGCACAGCCCACCGGCCCACAGCTGACACATTGACCCACAGGCATGGGTACTGGGGCACCTTTTTGCCCTCCAGCTCCTCTTGGTCCCTGATGTTGGTCTCAATCAGGTGGCACGTGGATTCCTGGGTCCACACGCTGGGGAGACCATGTGCACATACATACATATCTCAGAACCTGGGTGGCACAGAGCACCAGGTTTAAACCCCTTTGGAGAGACTAGGCCTGGGACTTCCATCTTGCCATAATCATCTAGCACTAAAGGAGTGTGACCCCACTCACAAGAAGCATAGAATCAGAATATCAATGCTTTTAAGCCTCTTAGAGATCATCTAGATAAATGATTCTCCCCCGGGCTGCTGACCCAAAGCCCTGGGGAGCTTTTGAAAAGATTTCCATGTCCTAGCCATGCCCCAGAACAAGGGAATCAGAATTCCTAAGGTGGGCGGGGCCCAGGCCCTGATATGTTTTTAAAAGCCCCCGCCTTGATTCCGCTGAGCAGCCAGACCTGAGACCCCTTAGCCCTTAGCCACACCATCCTCATCTTGCAGGCGGTGGGAAGAAGGGCTCAGAAAAGTCGAATGACTTTTCTGAGGCCACACCGGACCTGTGCCTTTTCCCCTAAAATGAGTGGATGTAGAAGGGACTTGATTTGTGCCAGGGTAGGGAGGTTGGTGGGGATGGCGGTCAACCTGGAGATAACGTGTCATAGGCACACAGCAGTCCTGTACAATGCCTCTCTCGGGTAAGATTCCAACCTGGAATCGCTCCAGGGTTATAAAACATGGGGAAGAAGCAGGCCCAGGAGAGGCTAACAGGCTCATCAACCCATCAGGGGATCACCTGTGACTCATCTCCCGTTTATCAGGCAAGACACACATTGCCAGATGGAGGGACTATCAGCAGCTGGAAATGTCCAGAGGTGAGGGTCTGAGACTTATCCTCAAAACACAAGTGGAGAGAATGGATCAGGAACTTCACACCTTTTCCTTTAAAAGCTCGAGTGGTTGACATGTCAGGGAGCAAGGGCATGGAACATCTGTGAGCTTCCAGAACAGAGCTCCAGGGTAGCAGGCTTTGGCTCAGTGTGACATTTCCTACTCAGAAAAGCCCCAAAATGAAATGGTATGTACAATGAAGTACTGAGCTCCCTGTCACTTGAGGTATTCAACAGGAGGCTAGACGCCCACCTGACTAGGAGGTTTCCGAAGGGGAGTCAAACTGTGCAAATGAGCTATGAAAATCTAGAACTCTGATTTCTCTGAGGTTAAACTCACGCTGGAGCATTTGCTCTGATCCTTCACCGTTTCTTGTGAGAAGGGCCTCCTATGTCTGCCACCCCCAGGTCCCAGAACCCCGGATGAGCAGGGTCCGGTCAGGCCTACCCTCCCTGCACTTGAACCGTGAACCCTAAGGCTGAGGATTGTCCAGTCTTGGAAGGAAGGATTGACCTTCCTCCCTGATGTGAAGTCAAGGGGAGGGGTAGGAAGAGGCTGGGGTTCCTGGCAGAACAGACCCTTGGGAGAATGGCTGGAGGGTGGGGCAGCCAGGAGAGTGCAGTACCTTTTCTGGTAGAGGGGCAGCATGGTCGTGCCCAGGATATAGTAGGCAATGACAGCACACACCACCATGGCCACACCCAGGCAAAGGGCTCGAGTCTCTCCCCGCTTCTGGGCCATCACCAGCTTCTTCCCCATGTCCACTGCAGGCAGCGGTCATTTCTGGAGCCACAGAGGCAAACAGACATGGGATGAGCACAGGCAGCAGGTAATCCCCACAGCGGGGACAGGTAAGAGGGGAGGGTACTCAAAGATCAACACCACCTCTAGTTTTATGTGGAGTTGCAACTTCAGAGGGCTTTTTTGACCCCAATGTGAGCCTCCCATCTGCTCTGAGAGGCAAGTATCATCCCCTTTCCACCGTTGAAGGATCCGGGGCCCAGAGAGGTAGAGTGACTAGTCCAAGGTCGCATGTATGATAGGCTCACTATTGGCTCCTAAGAGGAGGTCCATATTCTCAGCCCTGGAATCTGCGGCTGGTACTTTACATGGCAAAGACTTTAGGGAATGCTGAGATGGGGACATTATCCTGAATTATCCATGCAGACCCCAAATGTAATCACAAGGGTCCTTTGACAAGAGGAGAAGGTAAGAAGCCAGAGGAGACTTTGGACTTCTGGCTTCCAGAACTATGTGAGAGGAGATTTCTGTTGTTTGGGGCCACCAAGTATGTAGTAATTATTATGGCAGCAATAGAAAAGTAATACATGACATAAACAGAAACAGTAGGCAGCAGGTGTGGAACACCCAAGCACTTTCTCCTAGGACACTTCACAGTTTACCAAACAATCCCCAGGCAAGGCTGGCCAGGCTGAGGGCAGCAAGCAGAATAGGGACAGCAGGGCCCCCAGCAGGCAGCCAGGTAGGCTGAATACCCCGAACACAACGGGCTCTTTACTGGAGAGTGGGGATGCACTCCAGAAGCTGCCATTGGTGAGTCCCCTACCTTCCAGGCTACTCAGTCCTCCCAGGGGCACTGCCTCCTCTGCTGCATGCCTTCTTGTGTCCTCCCAGCCCCTGGGCACTCCTGACACTGGGAAGGCAGGGGTGTTGGGTGACCAGGTCTGGGAACTCAGGAAGAGAGGAGAGGAGAGGAGAGGAGAGGAGAGGAGAGAGGACAGGGGAGGGGAGGGGAGGGAAGGAGAGGGGAGGGGAGGGGTTCCCCCTATAACAGAGAAGTTTGGAACCTGCTGTCTATTCAGGTCTCACCTGTCTGTAATGCTCTGGTGGTACTGTTTACCTACACTGAGAGAGTAGATTTGCAGAGTGGTGATAAAACCATGCAGGACAAAAGAATGGGGTGAGGATATGGATATGGATACGGTTATCGGTATGGATGGGATTTAACAACCACAGGGAGGGCCTTCAGACAGGAAGAAGAGTAGGAACTGCTGATATCCCCTGAGGCCTGGATAGGAAGAAATGGATTGCCGCTATAAGAGGAGGGATTTCAGTTGGACTCCAAGAAGAAATTCTCACTTTTGAGAGTTGCTAAATATCTGGACTTTTTGGATATATCTTTCATTTGGAAAAGTCACTCAAAGTCTGGGGTGAATTTCGGAAAGATGGAGAATGAAGGAGAAGATAGGATTTTGGAGGGTCTTCTAGACCTGGTATTTTGGTTGACATTCTCTTCCTTAAGGACAGATTGTAGAGTATGGTGTTTAAGGGTTTGGTGGGGGGTGGGGCAGGGAGGACTCTGAGGTCAGCAGATCCAGGATCAAATCCTGACTTTGCCACTTAGCAACCATATGACTATAAAACAAGAATAATAGTACCTGCTTCAGAGAGTTCTGACAAAGATCAAGTCACATGCCAAATATCACATATTGATCACAGGGTCTGGCCCGATGCAGGCTGTCACTAAACATTAGTTACTAGTATAACAAAGGGAATCCTGAAGGTTTGGAGCAGAAGCCCCCAGTGCTCTTGCTGAGCCTATTTTTTGTCCCACTCCTCCCCCGGGGACAAATGCCAGGACCAGCCCTGCTCTCCGGGTGGCTACACTCTGGTGCTCTGGGAGCTGGGACCTGAGTGCTAGGACACTGAGGTACTAGAGTGATCCAGCCATGGAGTGATCCCCCAGTAGGCCACCAGACTATGGGCCCAGACACCAGCCGTTCTCGTCTCTCTGCTGACACCACTGTCAGCCCCTCTGGAGCCCAGAATCCTGATGGACCTCCCTTAAGGAAGGAAGTTCCGCGGCCAGCCTCCCTCCCCCCACGATCTCCCCACTAACCCCCGGTCAGTCGTCAATCGTTGGAGAAACCACTCCCCAAGGGCTCTGGACGCACTACTCACAGTCTCCCGTGCCCTGGAGTCTTCAGCAGGCAGATACTTCTTGCCTGGCCCCTGCCCCCACCCCAAAAGAGGCTGCCTGAGCTGCAGCGAGAAGCTTGGGCTCCCAGCCCATCTCTGGGAAAGCGGGCTTTGGTCCCCATCTGGGACAAGCCTCCATGCCCAAACATGGTCAAGTCTGAGCACACAGCCCCGGGACACAAACTCAAGAGAGTAGGTACCAACCCAGGAGACAACAGCAGCCGTTACCAGGCCCCCACACCTGCAATTTCCAGGGTCTGTAGAAAACAGATTTTGAACAACAAAAGACAGCAAAACTGAGAAGCCAGGAAAGACCATCCCGGTGCATTTAGAGACATTTCTTCATCACTCAGTCTCTCTGGTCTGGCACAGAAGTCAGGAACGGGAAATGATTTTCCTTTTGTTGACATGAGGGAAGGAGGAGGAGTTAGAGCTCCAAAGGGTTGGGCTTATCAGCCACTAGGGGGCTGGCATTTCCCCACAGGAGCCTCCAAACCCTCCAGAGCCTTCGACACTTGCATGCTGTGTGACCCTGCGCAGGTCACGGCACCTCTCTGAGCTTCAGTTTTCTCAACTACATTATTGGGATTTTTTTAAAACTTACTTCGTTCACAGTAATGATGAAGGTTAGGAATAATGGAGATTTGAGGCAGAGGAAGAGAAATCCACCTTTTAAAGCCCAGCCAAGCAGAAGCTGAAAGCAGTGACAGTCCCACTGCTGTCCCAGCCAGCCAGGTCCAGGGGCAGCAGCCTGCTCAGCCAGGTAGCCTCTTCCCAAGGTACTTGTCCTTTTGGAAGAGGGAAACAGGCAAGAAATGGGGCCCGTGAGCTCTTCTGCTGCACAAAAGTGAGCCCCCCTCCGAAATGCTGGGACAAGCTCTGCTCTCGAAGGTATGTGGAGAAAGACTCCGGTCCTTAGCTGGCTGTGGGGCTGTAGGTGAAGGGCAAGGAAATAACGATACTACAACAATAAAGATTAGTGCTCTGCATTCACCTGGGCTGTTAGAAATCACAAAACGCCTTCCCAACTTCAAACCTCCAACACTCTAATGTAATAAGCACTGCGGGCTCATACTAATCTATTCAGGTAGAGGTTTTTCTACCCATTTTATAAATGAGGTAACTGAGGTTCAGAGAGGTTAAATAGAGTGCCCAAGGCAAATTGCTTTGCATCTTTGTCTCAGTTTGTCCATTTCTAGAATGGAGATAACTATACCTAAACCTTCGGTGCCTCTTGAAAAATAAGAGATCACCTAAGCTTTCTGACCGGCAGATTGTGTTTTCCAAAGATGGCCACACCAATATGCATCCCATCTCACATGCTCTTCCTGCAATGTGACATCAACGCTCCTCCATCAAGAGGGGCATCTGTGTCCTTCAACACCGGCAGGGATCTGTAACCACCTTGCCAATAGAATGTGGTAGAAGTGACACTGTGTGATTTCCAAAGCTAAGTCATAAATAGCGATACAGCTTTCACTGAGCACCCTCTCCCGGGACACCTCCCTTGGAGCCAGCCACTGTATCATGGGGAAGCCAAGAGGTCACATGGAGGTGTTCCAGCCAACAGCCCCAGTTCGCTTCTCAGCCAACAACCAGCATCCCCCACCGACATGAGTGAAGGAGCCTGCCGATGACGCCAGCCCCAGCCTTCAAGTCCCCCAGCTGCGGCCACACACATCATGGAGCAGAGACCAGCCACCCACTCTGTGCACTCTCTGAATTCCCCATCCACAAAACCCACGAGCAAATTAAATGGTTGTTTTATGCCACTATATTTTGAGGGACTTTGTTATGCAGTCCCAGTAACTAGAATATATTGTAAGTGATTTAAAAGGAAAACTTACTGTTGCTAGTGATTGTGGTAGAACTGAACCAGTGGGGATGAAAAAGCCTGAAATGACTATATGGAGTGGTATAGGGGAGCTTTAGAAACGCCCTCTATATTCTTATATCAGGTTGCTCACCGGTGCACAAATGGAATAGAAGTATAGAGTTATAAGTGGGATTTTCATTTATTGAGCAGTTACTATGGGCCAGGGCATGAGCCACATCCAAATGCAAATACATATACATATACAGATGCATGTATACATATGTGTAGACACACATTGCGTACATGCATGTACATATTTGCACACACACATATACATGTGTACACACTTTCACATACATATACACATATATGCACACATATACATATCCATGCATGCACATGTTTACAGATATATATGCATATGCACGTGTACAAATGTACACGTGCATGTGCACACAATGTGCATATGCACACACATACACACATACACATACGCACATGTCCATAAACGTATACATACACACACATGCATATACATACACATATACATGCATATGCATACACAAATATATATACATTCCTCTCAGCAGTCCTCACAAAAGGCCTCGTTTCTATGCTTTGCCCAAGGTCACTCCCCTGTCACATGATGTGATGGAGCCTGACGTGAACCTGTGCTTGCTGACCCCACAGCTCATGCCTGCTCCTCCATGACTCCCTTAGGCACGGTTTTCAAGAGGACCAATGTTCCTTTACAACGTCTGCCTCAGCTGCTTTACAAGCCCCCCTCTTCAGTCTATAGCCCTTTCTGGATTGTGCATCCATTTATTTATTTAAACCCTTTTGAATCAATATCTATTCTCCACCACCACTTGGGATAATAAGTCCCATAAATCAAATTGGCAACCATGTCCTGAGCCCGTGCTGAGCCTGTGCCGCTGGCAGTGGGAAGAGTGGCCCTCAGTCCTCGCTGAGCCATTCGCTCACACACTTGAGGACCTACCGT